GCTGCTTTTGTTTCTCTGAATGTATTGGGTGGAACATATGTGGTGACCTAAACGTTATTGTATCCTGCTAAGCCTGCATAGTGGGTACACTAAACATTACTGCTTTTGTTTCTCTGAATGTATTGGGTGGAACATATGTGGTGACCTAAACGTTATTGTATCCTGCTAAGCCTGCATAGTGGGTACACTAAACATTACTGCTTTTGTTTCTCTAAATGTATTGGGTGGAACATATGTGGTGATCTAAACGTTATTGTATCCTGCTAAGCCTGCATAGTGGGTACACTAAACATTGCTGCTTTTGTTTCTCTGAATTTATTTTCAGTATATAATCGTATTATACTCATTGCTTTTTTTAAACTAGTTTTGCTATCATGCATTGTTTTTGAACATTCTTAAATGCAATTTTCAATGAATAAATAAAGTTAGTAAAGAGAAATTTGTTATTTTCACGATATATAAGAATATTTTGAATAAATCTATCATAACTCGAAAACTAGATATGATCAGTAAATCTCAACATGATTTTTAAAATCAGTATCATCAAATTACTCAGAAACAGTTACATTGTTTCTAGTAGCAGAACAAATTATGTGTTGCTCGGTGTAATTAGCCAAAACAAAAACAACCATGTCACTGCTTTGGGTGAGAGTATTTTTGTTGAAAACTTTTAAAAGTTTCACGAAATTGTTGGAAAGTTCTCTGAATTTCGCACTTTCTGGATCCAAAACTATTATTTATAAATCCTATATATAACTATGCAAATGATAACTTCTAAAACTAATTAAAATGTAAATATATTTCTTTGTCTTTCGAATGAACACAGAAAACAAGACAACGCATCTCAATAACGGCAATATATTACTGAATTACATTATATTACTGTATTACAATACATTACTATATTACAATACGTTACTATATTACCATATATTACTGTATTTCAATATATTACTGTATTACAATATATTACTGTATTACAGTATGTTACTGTATTACGGTATGTTACTAAATTACAATATGTTACTGTATTACAATATCATACGGAATTACAATATATTACTGTATTACAACATATTACTGTATTACAATATGTTACTATATTACAATATCTTACTGAATTACAATATATTACTGTATTACAATATGTTACTCTATTACAATATATTACTGAATTACAATATATTACTGTATTACAATATGTTACTCTATTACAATATATTACTGTATTACAACATATTACTGTAGAACCGACTTTGATAGACTTGTTGGTTTAAGCCAAAGTTACTCGAGAGCTTTCTGGACTAGCCATCCCTAACTTTGAAATAATAAACTAGAGAAGGCAGCTAGTCAATACCACCCACACAATTTCAACTCTTCTGCTATTCATTTACTAAAGAAAAGTGAGAATGAACGCCACATTATATTGCTCCCTCGACCGAAAGGGCGAGCCTGTTGGGGGAAATTCGAGTCCGCGTCCCACAGTTTGCGAGTCGAGTGCCCTAACCACCAGGCCATAACAGGTTGTCCGCTGCTGTGTGGCCGGCGCGGTGTTTGGATTCCGAATTGTATCATTATAAGTAATGCAACGGAGGAAGAAGTCACTTGAACCTGACCCTCCCACGTGTTCAAGACCCAAACCCCGATACTGTAGTGGTAGCCATAAGTAATACAACAATGTATCATGAGTTACTACCTAGGATTCTCTAACAATGCAAACAAACTAACAATTCCAGAGAGGGAGGAGGAGGTTCACGCTGAACCTGACCATCCCTTGTCCAAAAGATGGACCGAATCCCGATGAAAAAAGTGACAAAACCTTAATCTTACAGCTAATTCACCGGCAGACTTCAGAATTTGATTATCACACATATTAAATATAAGTGTTATATAAGTTAAATCCATCAAACGTCTTTGCTAACAACGCTAAGTTACTGTGAGTCCTATTAAAATAGTGATTTCTATAAAATTTTCTAATAGTTATTAAGTAAGTAGAAACTCGCTTGTTCAAAAACATTTCTAACACGATACTAGTAAATACGACAAATCTTTAAGGATGTAAAAGTTACCAAGCTGTATTTCGCTTGGCTTCAGCTTGCCCGAAGCGCAAGGACTGATAATTCAACTTATACAGGGTGTCCAAAAAGTCTGAAACTACAGGTGATTTGCAGCATAAGAAGGTCGAGTTAATCCTGCTGTTAATCCACACTTGTCTAGAAGTACAAGGACTAGATGTGGAAAACTTCTGCAAAACTGAAGTATCTATGGTTCCATTCTTTTCTGTGGTATCAGAACATAACAAAAGCATTGACTTAATGACATACATAATCAAATTCATTGGAGGTAACAATCAGTTATTATTTTCATTTCATTTGTATGGTGTATCAACATACAAATTGATATATTGATTAGATCAGTATTTTTCGTTCAATCCAAATATTAGTTCATATTTTGTTTTTCTAACAACGTCTAATTCGTTCATCCATTTCTCTAACAATCGTGTTTTTCTCATCATCATCACCGACCATTCTATCCTTCTGAAGCAGCTGTAAAACTGTCTACAATCGTCGTTCTCCATTTACACAATAATAGCTGTTCTTTGTTCATCACTTATATCTACGTTATCTGTTCTTTGATAGATTGTTTAGGTAGAGTATTCATGATGAAACTTTGTTGAATGGATGGCAACTGTAGAGACAGAAATGTAGAGGAATTTCGAAACGTCGTCCTCTACACTTGTGTCTCTACAACAGGTACTTCTACAAAGTTTCATTATGTTATCTATGTCATGATAAAACTATAAACTTCGATTTTGTTGCAGTAGTTAAACGCTGACTAAGCAGACTGTATCAAAACAATGATTCAAGACTGATAAGATACCGTAATTATACATTACCAGGTGATAGATTTAGAAGCCTGACTTTCTTGTACATGAGAGTTATCATTTTAAAAAGGCTTTATCTGGAAGTTACTATATCATATTTAAGTAATATCAAGGGTTAATTGTAAAATATGTAGATTTTAGGTAACTGTAATTTTTCGTGCAATTATAAAACCTCGAATGTTAATCAGGAAAGTTTAAAAACGATAATAATCAAACTCAAACTAAATTATCAATAAACTTAAATGAAACGTAATAGGTAAGTATATATCAAACAGTGTAGTGTTCCGTGGGGTGCCTTAGACAACAACAATAACATATTAATTGTAACCTAGAGTAATAAACAAAATGCATGTCTGAACTTAGGAAGCTTTTGGAAGGTTATTACGCTACTTGAAAAGCCTTTGGAAGGTTATTACGCTACTTGAAATTGCACAGATTTTAAACATGTATATGATACCTGTAATAACACGTTTAACTGTATTTATAAATGCTGCTCAAGTTGGTAAAAATGAGTCGAACTTGCATAGTTTTAGTTGTTTTCTATATAAAAAGGAAACGGTTTGTTTGTTCATGTAGATCAAGGCCACATTGGGCTATCTGCTATGTTCACCGTGGGGGAATCGAACCCTGAATTATAATGTTGTAAACCCTTAGACGTATCGCTTTCACACAAAAAAAAGGTATCAAAACCCGATTTTAGCGTTAGAAGCCTTCAGAGCTACAAAGAAGGGGCAAACAATCATATTGCTTCAAGTGTGTTATTTAATTCAGAAAACCTAGGCACTGCACATAAAAAGACTATTGGGCAAGTCACAACAGAGCTCCACATATATATATAGAGAGAGCTGCTGTAAATAATATCATGTAACATGCTCTATAATGATCAACTTATGTGCAGAACGATATTCTCATCGTCGCACCCATGGAGCACCATTTACGCTCACTGCTAGTGAAAGGCTTAACTTCCGAAATATCTCGACTTTTGAATCAATTTTGGGATATATCTTATTTCTTGATTCTTCGTGCCTTCCGGATAACTTGATTTAATCCAATGAATATGAATTCAATAATTCTGCAGGTTATTATTTTTTATTATCTAACCTAAAGGTCGAAGATCACCATTAATAAAACTACTAAAACCACCTCGTTCTTTATCGATATTTCATGCGTAATTCACGACAAGAAGCCAAATAATTTCATCTCAATGAATATTCAGATTAGGAATCCCAGAGTTTCTATCTTTGAACTGTTTATGATGGCACACTGCGGTCACTCAACCGAGATATCTTGGGAGCCGCCTAGCCCCTGGGCAGGGAAAGCCCTAATAAGTTGCAGCGTTGTCCGCCGCCCTGTGCCCGCAGCGTCAGTAGCAAAGTAGGCTTTAATGGCTAAGCCTGCTGATGATGAAAAGCCATCGTTATGAGGCGAGTGAAGGGTCATAATTATGAAATCCATGTCCAGGTACGTTGTCCTGTTCACTATTTGATTAGACAATGTAATGTAGAATCACCTGGCGGCACAGAACGGTCGGCGAGGTAAATTTTTAAGACCGGGGATTGCGTGTGTTGGTATTTCGTATCGTGATCTCTACAAGAACAGCAAGTTTCTAAATCAACTTCAGAAGTACTTTCCTAATGTTATATGGCCTTGTCGTCACGTGTCATTTCGTTTGTAATGCTACTTTAACCTCAGTTGGTAAAAGTAACATGTTTAAGCTAACACCACAGAAAAATGTCGTCACACTCATGCTTGGTATATTAATCGTAAATTCTTTTGGTTATTAGTTTTATAGTCTTGGGTCTACAACAACAACTCAAACATAAATCTATGTGCACGCACAACCGAATAGGACAAGATGCTATTTTGTTAGGCTTAGTTAACATAAATTACCTCCTTAAGTAGTTCAAGATGACAATTGCTAAGAAACAACATTATGTTGAAGGTAACGATGTGACTTTTTTTTTTAGAAATACCTAGGTTATTTATTTCCTGACATCCTGAACTTTGCAATAAATGCCGAATAAGTGATTTTCAACATTTTCAACATATTCTTTTTATTCCCAGATAATTATACTTTCTTCTGTACTATAAAACTTAGTTCGTTACCGAACAACATGCATGATCTGAATTAACTTTTTTGACTAACACCTACAAAAAAAAAAGATGGTGCATACGGGATGTATTAGTTGGGTAAATAAGATTTCGAACGTGAGACATACATTTCCTTACAAAAGTATTCACCCCCTGCAATGTTTCCACATTTAGTCGCCATCTGAGCTGGCAATCATGAAACTTTCAAGTGTGACTTTATATTTAGAATCTACACAATCTACTCCAAACTGAGAAAACTAAACAACAAAAAACACTGATATTATGAGAGTAAGTTAGATTTTCAAAGAAAATTAGAATATACACAATTGCATAAGTACTCAACCCTTTTGCTACGGCAACCCTAAATAAATTCAATTGCAAAAAATTAATTTGAAAGGTCACAAAATTAGTGTAGTGGTCTCTGTCTGTGTGTAATCAAAGTGATTTAAACTGATTTCAAAGTAAATGCATCTGTTCAGGCCACAACTTACACAGTAATACGAGAAACCAACAATGAAGACCAAGAAGCTTTCCAAATAAGTCAGAGATAAAGTGGTAGTGAAGCACAGATCAGGAGAAGGTTACAAAAACCTTTCAAAGTCACTGATTATCCCTTTGAGTACAGTGAAGTCCATCATTAAGAAGTGGAATGTGCTTCATACCACTCAGTCACTATTCAGATCAGGCCACCCTTCCAAACTAAGAAGGAAACTGGTAAGGTATGTCACTGTGAAGCCAACGGTGACTTTGAAAGATCTGGAAAATTCCATGTTTGAGATGGGAGTCAATGTTCATAAATCGACAATATTCCGGTCCCTACACAAAGCTGGTCTGTATGGGCGAGTTGCAAGAAAAAGCCATTACTGAAAAAGAACCATCTTAAATCTCGTATGGAGTTTGTAACCAAGCATGTAAATGATACTGCAGACATGTGGCAGAGGTTTTTGTGGTCAGACGAGAAAAATATTGAGCTTTTTGGTCTAAATTCAAATCGTTACGTCTGGCGCAAGCCTACCACAACACATCACCCAGTCAACACCATCCTAACTGTCAAGTATGGTGGCAGCAGCATCATGTTATACAGATGCTTCTCATCAGCAGGGACTGGGAAGCTCGTCAGGATTAAGGGGAAGATGGATGGTGCAAAGTACAGGCAAATCCTAGAGGAAAAACCTGCTTGAGTGAGCCAAGAATCTAAAACTGGGTCGAAAATTCACATTTCAGCAGGACAATGACTAGAAGCACAAGGCCAAATCCACACTGGAGTGGTTTCAAAAGAAGAAAATGAATGTCCTGGAGTGGCCCAGTCAAAGTCTGACTTAAATCCAATGGAAAATGCATGGCGAGAGTTGAAGATTGCAGTCCATATATGACCCCCAACGAACTTGTCAGAACTGGGGTAATTTTCCCAGGAAGAATGAGGAAATATAGCACTATTCTATTCTATTGTAAGCTGGTAGAAACCTATCCAAAAAAGACTCACAGCAGTAATTGCTGACAAAGATACTTCCACCAAGTACTGTCTTAGGGGGCTGAATACTTATGCAATAAGCAAATTTCAATTTATATATTTTCGTTGCAGGTTTTGCTGACAATCAACCTCCTTCACACATAACTGTGTTAAGTTTGATTAGCTAACATTCCACCTCCTTCACACATAACAGTGTTAAGTTTGATCAACTAACATTCAACCTCCTTCACACATAACAGTGTTAAGTTTGATCAGCTAACATAACCTCCTTCACACACACAACAGTGCTAAAGTTTGATCAGCTAACATTCCACCTCCTTCACACATAGCAGTGTTAAGTTTGATCATTAGAGGTTTGAATAAAAACAAATTCGTTAAAAAAATTGTTTACATTATTTGTATTTCATCAAAATGTGACGTTATTGGTAGTGGGTGAATACTTTTGCAAGGGACTGTACTTGAATTAATAGGTCCACTGTATGTCTGTCTACCAACATATATGGTTTGTTTGTATTGAACAGATTATTGTATTTTTAATATCATAGCCTTGCTCTCGTATATATATATTATCTATATCTAATTACATGATATATGTGTTTTTCATCAAACTGTAGTAAAAATTTAACAGCAAATAGTTCATAAACCGAAAATAAAAACGGAAAACACGTGTACAGTTGTATTAACTGACACACACGTTAAATGATTCATATAACAACATCTTTACTTATTAACCAGTTTGTAATAACTTAATAGCTAAGATACTGAGTATCTTCTAAATATCTAGACGTTAACACGTGTGTTGAAAATATCGACCACTTCATCTATCAATTATTTTGTTATTTTCCTTTGTTGATGTTGGAACTGGTATCAGTTAAAAAATAACTGAATGTTTTTTTTCAGTTCTTTATTAAGATAATCGTATTTATTACATATGTTTTCTTATGTGGATTGGTACTAGAAAAGGGTAAGGCGTTTCGCTGTTGAAGGTGTTTGCAAAGTGGAGTTTTCCATTTTTTTCTACACACACTTTACTGTTCCATATTGAAGTTTTATTCCTTTAGCCATCGCATACACTAGCTTATTAATGACATTAAAATGTCCGATTTATATCGATAAAGAACTACTAACGATGAAGTTATGTCACTCGAAAGAAAAATCACATTCTTCAGTAAAAACTGAAGTAAATGTTTATCCTGTAGCTTATTGTAAATTCGTAGCATTAACTTACATATTTTAAATTCTTAAACAATTGCCTAAATTACCTTGCGCTTTGGAAATTAGTAATATAAAGCTCTAGAGATAGCAACGTTGAGTACTAAACTTACTTTTTAAGAACAACTTTCTGAAATTTTTACTGTTGTTGTTAATTCTTTCTTCTTAACATTTAATTGCTTACGTTATTATTATGAGTAAAATAATGTTTAGAATATCGTTCCAAATAATTGTTTTTAATATGATATCCATAATAATCACTTACAAAACAAAGAGTGCAAAATATGAACAAAATAAAATAATTTGTAAAAAGAATTTCATTTCATACCTTCTAAGACCAATCCGATGGCTTGTCGATAGTGGGCTGCGGTTAGATGGCGAACAGCCAGAAGAGAGAATGAATTTCTTCCAAAGTCTTCACCGAACGTTTCGTAGTAAACCACCAGCTCTGCGTTTGGTGCGATATTGCTGACAACCTCATAGATGGGCTCACCCTTGACTAACGAGCCAATTAGATTGACCTCGGGGCAGAAAGTCGGAGACACCCGCAGGAATCGCACCCAGTTACAGTGACGCACGCGGCGGGTGTCGATCTCTTGAACGTCATCATAACAGCCAAACTGATGCCGTACCTGTGTTGTAAGGGTGGGAAGACAACATATGAAATCTAGATATATTTCTGAGCAGCTGTTAAGAAGAGGGATAATATTAGATATAGAATTTGCTCTATGTTTTCCTAGGTTAGCTGAACCTGGCTTTTCTAAACGCTTGCATACCAACTGAGTTTCATCGAATTTATAAAATACGACAAGATTACTATTCTTGAAAAGACTGCCTTAAATAGCTGTTCGGGTGGCTAATGTTAGCGGTCTTGACTTATGACTGTCTACAGACTCTCCAGTATTGTAAAGCCGTCAATTAAATAGTTCTAGTAGCTACTAAGACAGTGAAGGACTCGGTGAAGGACATTGATGAAATATCATTTAAAATGCGATGTTGAGTTATTAAGATTCGGAAAGCTTGCTTAATATTACTTTAGGTAAGTGTTTTTCAAGACAGGTCACTGAGCACTTCGAGTCAGTTATCTGCCCTGAAAACAAAATAAAATAAACGTACCTCTTTCGTCTCAAACCAAATAATATCGATCTTTTCATTGGACCTACGATTCTGAATACGCTTGCTTCAGTGCACGTGAGTTTTGGTTACATAGGCGTTGCTCTAAAATATTTTTATAAAACTTAACATTATACGACTAATTCATAAGGAAATTTAGCCTTATTATTCAAGTTTCGTGGTGATTTTCTAAGGATACCGATAGGCATTGCACAAATATTTTATCAGCCTAAAAAAACCTCACATGCAAATATACACTAGTGGTTGTGGTTTCAGCCTTAAATCCATATCGGTGACAGTTATCACTTTACGTGAGCCAAAGCCAGTAACTAGTCATGTAATATGTTTACGTATAAGCGTGTTGTTTCAGGAGAGTACAGTAATGGTGTTTTACATGGTAATAACATTTTAACATAATTAATTACTTAATTTATAATTACATGAGCTAGATCGAATTACTGTAATTTCAGTCTTAAACAGTTATATGAACAAAACTACTTCTGAAATACTTCTTCACAAGAAGAATAACCTTACGAAAGAAACTCCAATACTTTTCTTAGATCGTTAACTTTAAATATGTTTAATGAAGAACATGCATGTCTTTACGCATGATGCTACTGTATTATTCTTGTCTTTATTCATGATGTTACTGTATTATTCATGTCTTTACTCATGATGTTACTGTATTATTCTTGTCTTTATTCATGATGTTACTGTATTATTCATGTCTTTACTCATGATGTTACTGTATTATTCTTGTCTTTACTCATGATGTTACTGTATTATTCTTGTCTTTACTCATGATGTTACTGTATTATTCTTGTCTTTACTCATGATGTTACTGTATTATTCATGTCTTTACCCATGATGCTACTGTCTTATTCATGTCTTTATCCATGATGCTACTGTATTATTCATGTCTTTACCCATGATGCTACTGTATTATTCTTGTCTTTACTCATGATGTTACTGTATTATTCTTGTCTTTATCCATGATGCTACTGTATTATTCATGTATTTACCCATGATGCTACTGTATTATTCACATCTTTGCCCATGATGCTACTGTATTATTCATATCTTTACTCATGATGCTACTGTATTATTC